TCTAGGAATGTTGCAGCAATCATTGCCTGTCAGTAAACTGATTCTTTTAGCAATTAGGAGAGGTGCAATGATCCTCACCCTCTGCTAATCCTGAGAGGGATCTGTGGCAAGTCAGTGGTATTTGGTGGTTGTGGCCTTAGAGTAAAGGCAATTGGCTGGGTTCAGTGGCTCACACCTATAATCACAGCATTTTAGGAGGTTGAGGCGGGAGGATCACTTGAGACCAGGAGTTAGAGACCAGTCTGGGCTACATAGCGAGACCCTATCTCTATTAAAAAAATTAAAAAAAAAAAATAAGTTGAGCATGGTGACACATACTTGTAGTTCTAGCTACTCCGGAGACTGAAGCAGGAGAATCACTTGACCCAAGAGATTTGAGGTTGTAGTGAGCTATGATTGCATCACTACATTCCAGCCTGGACAGCAAAATAAGACACTATCTTTTGGGGAGGGGAGGGGGGTAGCATTGAATTTAGGGAATCAAGTTCACTGGTTCACATGAGACTGAGGAATAGTGGTTCTGACCAGCCTTAGGAAGATCCCGCACAATAAAATGGTGGAGTGGGGAAAGGATTAGTTTTGATATCAGCAGAGAACTGACTTTAACTCCTGCTTTTGGCATTTATTAGCAGTTTAATTTTTTTCTAAGTCTGGGTTTTGTCTTCCATGACATGGAGACAATAGCAATATTAGGACATTTTTGAAGATTGAAGGGGACAACATGCAAAAATGCTTGCAAACAGTAAGCACTCTGCATTTGCTGCTGCAGTCTCATATTTTCATAGCACTTTGTAGACACCTCTATTATGACACTTCACAGAGCGTTATAATTATTTATTTTCTGTGTCTGTCTACTTATGCTAGCCTGATGGTCAAGGTCCATATCCTGCTGTTCACTTTTTCTCCTAGCTTCCTGCGTAAGGCCCAACCTGCTCATTAAATTAACCGAAGCCTATACTTCAATATGAGTTTCATACTTTAATACTTAGGTTTTGCTGAGGGGGACATCTTTCACTTTTGAGTCTTTTTTTTTTTTTTTTTTTAGCTTTTTCGTTTATGTTTTTGTAGAGGCGAGGTCTTGCTGTGTTGCCCAGGCTGATCTTCAACTCCTGGGCTCAAACAATCTTCCCACCTTGGCTTCACAAAGCGCTGGGATTGCAGGTGTGAGCCACCACACCTGGCCTACCTTTTGAATCTTTGCCCTTTCCTTCCTCTCTCTAACTCTCCTATTGAGGACCAGATAGAATCTGTCCTATGGGATCTGCTCAAGAGCAGGAATCTTAAAAGTACCATAGAAGCTCCTCACTAGAATCTAAATCTTTTTTTTTTTTTTTGAGTTGGAGTCTCACTCTGTCACCCAGACTGGAGTGCAGTGGCCGCTCCTGGCCACCTCAGCCTCGACCTGCTGGGCTCCGGCGATCCTTCTGCCTCAGCCTTCCAAGTAGCTGGAACTACAGGTGTGTGCTACCATGCCCGGCTAATTTTTGATTTATTGTAGAGATGAGGTCTCACCAAGTTGCCCAGGCGGGTCTCGAACCCACGGGCTCAGGCAATCCACTCACCTCAGCCTTCCAAAGGCACGGGATTACAGGCTGAGCCACCGAGGCCGGCTCTAGAATCTAAATCTTGAGGAGAGTCCCAGCACCTCCTGTACACTCAAACACACGTGTGTCTGAGTAGCATCCCAGCTTGCTACCCTACCCTTCTCGTTAGCAAGTGCCAGGATTTCTGTGCTATTTCTCTCTTTTTATTCTCTACTTCAACAAACTTATTAATTTCTTTTTTTGAACCCCAGCGTTGACCTGCTGGGCTCCAGCGATCCTTCCACCTCAGCCTTTCAAGTAGCCAGAACTACAGGTGCGTGCTACCACACCTGGCTAATTTTGGATTTATTGTAGAGATGAGGTCTTGCCAAGTTGCTCGGGCTGGATCTTGAACCCACAGGCTCAGGCAATCCACTCACCTTGGCCTCCCAAAGTGCTGGGATTACAGGCTGAGCCACTGAGCCCAGCCCAAACTTGTTAATTTCATCAGTGCCATTCAAGTTCAATTTCCAGACACCAGGCTAGGTTTGGGGGTATAGAGATGAGTATGACAGTATCTCCATGAGAGGCACTTCAGATCCAGTGAGAGAGACAGAGGAGATCACAGAATGTTTCTAGGGCATGGTTAGGGCAGTAATGGAGGTGGACATGCTGTGGGAGCACAGAGAAGGGGTCTTCTCCTTAATTATCTTTTCCCCCTATGAGCCCCATTGTTCCTGCTTCTAACAGGGGGACAGGGGAACCAAACTGTTATTCCTGCCCTCAAAGACTATTTGAACAGTAGGAGTTTGGAGGCAGCCTATGGCCAGTGTGCATCAATTAAAGGCCTAGTCAATAGCCCTCCTGCCTGGGAGGAAGAAGAAAATTCTGAGGGACAAGACAGCGCAAGACCACCAGCTGTGTGGCCCTGGCTGTAGTTTGGTTGGACTTGGTTGAATTTGGGGCACAGGGAGGTTCAGCCTAGGGCTGACTTGGTGACCTGAGCATGAGCATGCATTGTGGCTGGCTGTGGGAGGTTCCTGCAACAAATTCCAGATTGTGGTTTCTCTCTCTCAAGTTTCCTTTCCTTTCATTCTCTTTCTCATGAGAGCATTCCTGTTTCTCTGACGTTTGCTTCTCCACCAGTTTTGATTCTTCTTATTTCCTCTCCTGTTTACGTCTCACCTTTTCCTTTAACTCTCACTCTGCTGTCATCTTTCCTCTTTCCTTCTGCCATGTTCTCATTCTCTCTGTATTTGAGCCTTCTTTGCCTTTTAATTTTGTCTTTCTGCTTCTCCCTCCATATTCTGAAACATATCTGTTATACTCAGGAGTAGAAAGGAGATTTTCATTTCCAAGAGGCCTTTTTATGATATGAAAGAACATCTCGGGTGGATCTGAGTATCCTAGGAAACAGAACTCTCATTTCTGAGCAGGGCAGATTCCACACACTGCGTCTGGAAAACAGTGAAAGGAGCATCTCCTACCCGGGCAGTGCAGTAGGCTGTGCTGTGCCTCTTACCTTTATACATGAATTAGCAAAACAGTGGTCCTGGTTTTCCAAGTCCACCATCACTGCCCAATCCTTGAAGTTTCTCTTCATCTCTCTCTTCTTTCCCTTATTTTTATTTCTTTTTCTGTCATGTTTTTCAGTTCTGTTTTCTCTGTTTCTCCTTGCTCTTTTTTTTCTCTTTAGTTTTCCCCTGCTTATTAGAAATGATATCACCCCCTCCTTCATATTTTTCTATGGCCTTGAAGATGGAATCAAAAGCAACATAGAAGACTCTGTTCCTCTAAGTCCCTCCTTTTCAGATGATGTGATGGAAGTTTGGTTCGGGAGAGATGGAGACCTGGAAAGTTTGTTTAGTGCCTGAGATTCTTCATGAGAGCTGGATTTCTTTCTGGTTCTTATTTTGAGGTAGCACAAACATATGGTTATGGAATCTTAAAGTTGAAAGAACTCTTTACTGGTCATTTAAATAATCTTCAACCCAATATGTGAGTACTCTACTTCTTAATGATAGTTCTACAGACTGCTCTTGAATACTTGTAGTGCTGGGAAGTGTACTACCACATAAAGCAGAACACTTGGTTATTGGTCAGCACTTCTTGGTTCATATGATCACATAGTCCTGGATCTGTATTATTTGTATGTATTGATCTTATACCTGCTTCCTAGGGCCAGCCATATAGTATAAACTTTCATTCAAGTTCTCTTTCCAGTGTTGAAGATATGCAGGTATTGAAGACACCTTCTTTAGTACTTGAAATATTTCAGAGAGGTCCCCCCCAAAATAATTAAACAAAATAAACCATTCTTGCCACCTTTCGACTATATAGAAAACTCAATTTTCTGAACGACTCATTTGACAATCATTTTAGATGGCTGAGATTGTTCTGGAGAGGTTATGAGGAACAAAATAGCTTTCTTCACAGAAAGAATAATAAAATTAGTAAATTTTAAATTCACATTTTGTTTAATTAATATTATTCATTTTTGTGTTAGACAGTATCTATTAAGCGCATTATGCTTTACAGAACACTCTTAATATTCAATCCTATGTCATTTTATTTTTATACCTAGGCTAGGAGACTCCCCCATTTTGCGGATGAGGAAGTATGACTTGTGGAAGTTGAGTGACTTGTGTCAGGTCACCCAGTTCTCAAGCGAATGAGTCAGACTTAAACCTGCTCTTCTAACTCTTAGTCTTCTGCTGTGTCTTTTATAAATACGTGTGTGTCCTTGTCTCCCCAAAGTACCTGCAATGTCAATTACATGAAGTAAGTTGTCTCCTCAAGACAAAGTACTTGGTGTACACAATATAATAGGATGCTTATAGATGTGTGTGTGTGTTTCTGGATATAGCTGTGGAAGGTAGACGAATGGAAACAAAGAAACCCAATCCAGGTCAGAGAGTGGTTTGGAGCAATTATATAAATAGTAATACTATATGCAGACCATCAGAGTTATTCTCCTGTTACAACTTCAATGTAATTGATTTGTTTGATAAACATTCTAAGTGTCAAAGTGGAAAGAGTGGGTTACTTCTTTATTGTAGTTAAAATCCTGAAAGATAGGAGACGGGGAACAAAGAAAATTTTAAAGTAAAAAATATGAGGACCTGGTAGATTGGAAAGAGGGGAAGGAGTTTGGGAAGAGACAGAGAGAGGAATAGGGGACAAGGTTTGGGCACAGAATGGGACAGATGCTGGGGACTTTGTGTTTTGCTCAGGGGTTGGAAGCAGGATTCTGGTATGATGATAAGTTTTCCTTCTTTGCTGCGTGAAACCCAGATGGCTAAATTTAATTCCACTTGGAGCCACTGGTGATTCACCCAAGCTCAGGTGCGCCCACATACAGCTGGCGCCAGCTTTGTGTGCTTTCAGGCTGATCCTGCGTCAACCCAGCTTCCCTCATGGGAAGGAGGGGGAAGCCAGACTGTGGTAACCTTGACCCTTCTGTGTCTCTGTCTGCAGCATCCTGGCCACCGCGGGAACCCACTTCAACACCCATGTGGACCTGAGGACCCTGCGGGCTGTGCGTGTCCTGAGACCCTTGAAGCTCGTGTCAGGGATACCAAGTGAGCATCTGCCATTCTTCTTTCTGCTCCACTGAGAACTTTATTGATGTGTTCTCTACTAGATTTGGGTCTAGGGGAATTTAGGATAAACAACAAGAGAAAGTCCCAGTGGTAATAAATAGTGGAGATGCAGCAATCTGGCATAACACTTCATTTTTAAATTGAACTTTTTTGGCCAGGTGTGGTGGCTCATGCCTATAATCCCAGCACTTTGGGAGGCTGGGGTGGGAGGACTGCTTTGAGGTTAGGAGTTTGAGACCAGCCTGGGCAATATCACGAGGCTGTGTCTCTACAAAAGAATAAAAAATTGGCCAGGTGTGGTGGCACATGCCAGTAATCCTAGCTACTTGGGAGGCTGAGGCAGGAGGGTTGCTTGAGCCCAGGAGTTCAAGGCTGAAGGAAGCTGTGATTGTGATACTGTGCTCCAGCCTGAATGACAGAGCAAGACCCAGTCTCAAACAAAAGCAAAAGAAAAAAAGTTATTAGATTTAAAAGATAATGGCACTTTGTGAGGCCTAGGCAGGATGATTGCTTGAGCCCAGGAGTTTGAGACCAGCCTAGGCAATATATAAAATAAAAAAAGAGCCGGGCTCGGTGGCTCAGCATGTAATCCCATGCCTTTGGGAGGCTGAGGTGAGTGGATTGCCTGAGCCCGCGGGTTCGAGACCCGCCTGGGCAGCGAGGCCTCATCTCTACAATAAATCAAAAAATCAGCCCAGCGTGGTAGCGCATGCCTATAATTCCGGCTACTTGGAAGGCTGAGGCAGAAGGATCACCGGAGCCCAGCAGGTCGAGGCTGCGGT